GAAAATCTCGAAACTTATTGCTTTAATTAAATTTATAATATTTTTATACTTTTAATTTCAATGTTTTTAATATAACTAGGTTATAGAGATGAATAATAAATTCAAATATCAAACATTTTAAAAGAATAAATATTATATAACATTTATATATGCATATCATATTTTACTGCTGCATTTATTACAATTGCAAACTCAAATTTTATATTCTAATAAGATTTTTCAAGAGAAAATGTTTTTAATTTTTTTATTTTCTGTGATTTTTTTTTTTAATATATGTTTATATTTAACATCATTTATACAAATTTATTGCATTTCAGCAAAGATAAAGAATAAGCACTCACTGAAACGACGTGTGAACGGAAGCACAGTTGTAGCACGAGAAACCAATCATTGCCTAGTAAAACGTCTCGATCTGTAAAATACGAATATATCTATATCAGCAACACTCATAATAATTAGTATTTCAAAACGATTATTATTCAGATTGATTTTTTGTTTTTTAAAGATATTTAAAAAGAGAACACTTACATAAATGTAGTACTTTTTTACGTATATATTTATAAAATTTGATAAAATATACATATACTATATGTATATATAATAAAATGTTTTATTTATGCAATAAAGCATAAATAAATAATAATAATAATACTTCTTTGGTAAGCTGCTTTTTTTCTGACACTTGGAAGATATTCACAGTCGCAAAAAGATATTCATACAGTTAATTATCACGCGTACACTAATCACAGGATACACGACGACGGTGCTTTACATGGCACTCTCTCGTTAATCGCATGTAATGTTAATGCATTTTACTATGCATTGAGAACAATGCAAAAAGATGCAAAATCTTTTCATCATATGAAAATACAATGCGTTTAATTCTTACGTTTTATGGATTTAATGGAGCAAAGGAACTCGAAGTGAAAAAGAACTTTGGTCAATCATTAAATTTAGGTTGTTAGATAAAAATAAGAGCACGATAGACAAAACAGCCAACTGTTATGTCATTTATCGAAAGTCTTTGGCAATGTAACCGCGTACGACACAATTATTATGGTTTTCCATAAACAATACAATACTTTATCTACATATTGTGTATCTACATATTTTTGCCCTAAGCTATCGCGAACACTCTCATGAAAAATGTTCATTGTAGGAACCAATAGCAAGAGCATACGATAGACAAAGTGCCAACCGAAAGTCCAATTATAATCGATACAATTCTAATCCTCCTCTAGCAATTGGAATCTTTAAAGGCATCCTCGATATTTTGATGGTAGAACTAAAAATAAATTATATATCTATAAAAATTCACAGCACAGAAAGATTGCAGAAATATTGCAGAATGATTTCACTGAAACATTGCAATATATCATGGTGATTGCGAAACGTTGCTGAATCATTGCAAAATTCCAACAATGTTAAGATATCCGCTTTTTGTTATATTGCAACAAAATGTTCCAGCAATATTGCAATGTAATATATTTGGATAAATTTTTTACGAAGATTCTAAAATGAAAACTATTTCTATACATATATCTCATTAATTTTAATTTTTTTACAAATCGCATTTCTAGTGATATGTGCTTTCCAAAAGCAATTTTTCATGAGAAAATCATAAAATATTCCAATAAGTATATAGTATTAATTCTAAAGGATAAATTTATTCGTAAGGGTAAAATATGTATGTGTGTGACCCGAACAAACTACAAATATTATTCACATTAATATAATAATCACATTAATATAATATAATCGCTTGGTAAGTTAATCATGGATTAAGTTAATCGCAGATTCTTTTTAATTCGAAACCTCCAAGTCAATTGAAATCGATTAAAAAATGAAATTTATCAATAAAGTTCGGGCGCTGCATTCACATCAAGCATAAATACATCATCGACTACATTAATTAATATTTCGGTAAATCATTTTCAGCAACTTAATTGCTTATTGTCTTATTCGATAATGATGTATTGATTGCATCCAAACTTGATATTTATACAATCTTTTGATTTCATATTTAAAATAAATAACTTAGCTAATAAAATGGCGTCAAATAATACAATAGATCAATAAATTATTTAAATATAAAATGAATTATAATTATTATATCATAAAAACGACTGTTAAACTAAAAGACTGTACTACATAAATATTATAAAAACTTATATTTTTATATTATTATTATTGTAACAATTAAAAAATTACAGTTTTGTAATGTTTGTGGAATATTATAAGTATGTTTTGCATGCATATTGTTAATTTACATTTCTGTAATTTTGCAAGCATATTGTTAATTTACATTTCTGTAATACCTCTGCAATGTTACATTGCAATCTGCAATATTGCAACATTGCAGCAATATTGCTTCAATCTTTAATGCTGTATGGGAAATAAATAAAATACAATCTAATTTCTATGATGAAAAAATTTGTTAAATCTTCGACAAATATACCAGAGTTTTTTCGATAAGTGTACCAGATTTTTATATAATTTGGAACAATAAAAAATTGCTCTGCATCTTGAAAACTCTTATTGCTAATGGAAGAATTAAAATGCGTGTTACTGGTGCAAAGTTAATCACAAATGATAGAACAGTTGACCGACATTTATATTATGCACTTGCTCTAACGTAGCAATTGTTAAGCAATTATATCAGTATAGAAAAAAATCGCATGTGACACTTTTCGGTACCTTTTGCGTTATGAAGGATAATGCGACATCACAAACAACGATCGTCTACCTTGAGTTTTATCGCGCGAAGGTCATCATGTTTATAAAACAGTATATTCATATATGTACATATGCCTTACGTCAATTGTTTACTTGCTTTCATAAAATATTTAATGTATTTTAGAATAAACGTATACAAATATATTCCGTTTCCCGTTCCGTATTTATTTACTTTGAATCAAGCTTTGAACTGATAGACGATCCACGCGGGCATCGCGCGGTTTTTCTTTGCTTAAATCGATTCGAGATTATTCGTGCATTATCTTGCGTGTGTTGAACATTTAAATACCCGAGAATTTAAAGTACGACACGAAATATACGATATCAAGTCGATGCCAAGTACTTTTCGTAAGTAATGTAAGCAATAACTGTTGTCGGCAAATTTGCTGTAAAAAGATATCTTATGATTCTCGTTTTCGATTAATTCAAATTGTACTTCGAACGAATAAATCGAGCAAGATATACCCAGCTCAACGACACACTTACGAGAATTACAGGAGTTTTACATCAATTGATTATTTTTTTAATCAAGAATAAATTGCGTTTCAAAGAATAGATACGACGCACGGAGTGACACATATTCGTTTATTTACTGAAAAAAGAACCTGATAATATTTTTCAAATATTGAGTGAATAATTCCAATCAAATGTTTGATTAATATAAACCAAATATAATTTTATTTTTTTTAATATTTAGTATATGAATTACTAAAAACGATTGATTATATTATTATGTTTAGTAATACTTATTAAATATTTATACTGAATTCGATTGAGCGTACTCAGTATGCACTGATGTACATTAAAGCCATCGTATACAAAATAACAAATCGTAACATCGTAACAAAAAGATACATTTATACATAAACATAGAAATCGGCTAAATCCTGAAATACTCAATTCATTTTATTGTACTATTGCACTGAGAAAAAATATAGTTAATTTTAATAAATGTTTAGTTAGCAATACAAACATTTACTTACAGTAAGTAAATACTTGTTCAATAAAAAAAATGATTGTTAAATCAAATTAACATTTTTTGTGTCAAATAAATATATCTTTATATTTAATAAATATTTAGTTGGCAGTATTCAATTAAATATTTATTAAAATTGACTTTTTCCCACACCTAATATGTATTTTATAATTCGAAATATTTGCATTTCACTTTTATACTCAAATTAAATCAGTGTACAACGGCTTTAATATGCACCAGTGCGCACTAGTTTTTCCAATCGAATTCGTCATTAGAAAAGTAAAGTTATAAATAGAAAAGTAAAGTTATTTTTTGTTATATTAATCGAACATTTAGAATTTATTTCATTCAACACGATAGATTTTTTTTTTAGCGAATAAACGAACCATTATTACATATTACATGTAAATTTGTTCGAAAAGCGTTTATATTATTTTGAATGAAAAGATATTTTTATAGAAATGACTTGAACTGTAAAAAAATCAATAAAATAGATAAGTATCAGATCGGTATGAGCATTTATGGATCAAAATTTTATGCAAAGTTTATGCGTAGCATTGGCCAACTTCGATCGCTTGTAACTTGAGAACAAATTGCAATTTCATTTTTATATTAGAATAATTTCAATTCTAACTGATCTTCAGAGTTTGTTATTAAATTATTGTATAGTGGAACATCATGTATATAAAATACCGATATACAGTTTCCGAAAGAGTGAAAATAAATTCTTCCACGAAGCAAAATTCAATTCTAATAGATAAGAGGATCTTATTCCTTAATTAACTTTCAGCTTGAGCTTAAGTAGAGCTTAATTTAAGATATAATTATCTTAATATTGAATATTGAAAGATTATAAGAAATGATGGCATTCGGTTTTCATTAAATCGATTGTAAATTAGTAAATTGTACATTAACATGTGGAATACCTACGATCGCTAGCTGGGGAAAACTGCTTTATTTCTTAAATTAATAAAGTAGTAAATCAATAAAGCAATAAAAGCATAATATAGATTGAGACACGTAAAACTTATTAAAATAGAGAAAATTGCTTCTTTATGAATGAAAATGATTTCTGATGATTAAATATTTTGTATGTTATATATAAATAATAAAAAAGGATTTCGATATAATTCTATCAAAAAAAATTATTCATGAAAATATGTATCATATTTCTTACGCTCTTATATGATATTATAGATTTTAATTTAAATATGTATTTTTTCCTTGTTAGAAATATTATGTAAGATAATTTCAATTGGATTAAAAAATTTACTTTTTCTATTTCCAGCACCTCCGCAGAAGGTGGCAATCAGTAATCATCCGAAGAAGCAGATAATCGAGGTGAAGGTGGGCGAATCGCGGCGCTTAGAGTGTATCGTTAGCGCAGCGAAACCAGCCGCCTCGATCATTTGGTATCGCGGAAACACGCAGATCAAGGGCGGCGACACCACTATCGCCGCAATCTCCATCCAGGGTGGTAAGTAGTTACGCTATCCTGTTACGCACGTTGATATTCGATTACGATAATCCCGCGCGCGAATGAATATATCATGGTTATTACGCGACGAGGATTAAATGACCGCCGTATTATACGTATGCACAGATAAGCGCATTTCTGATCTAATAACGCGGTACTGTCTAATTAAATTTCGCAACCGAATACAAATAGTTTTCTCATTTGCGCGTAAAAGCGAGTTTTTGAATTAATCTTATCCTACCATATTTGTTGCTTATTGTATTATATTCAACATAATTGTCAATGATCGTGCTATGTATATTGAAAATTAAAGAAAATTAATTTTTAATAAATATTTGTTTAAATATTTCTAAATACTTACTAACATATATTTGTTTGGTACAAGAACCATTAATTAGATTATTTAATTATCATTTTTTAAGTAAAATTTAAAATGAATAAATTTTTATTTTTTATTAGGACTATAAAGAAATATGTATTAAGATTTAGTAAATTTTTTTTCAGTGCATTAATTTCTTTTTACATTAAATTCTGAATTTGTGGAAATATCAGAAAAATTGATTAAATTCTTTTATTATAAATAACCGACAATTGTTATTGATACTGTAAAGTGAATAATAACAGAAATTGTTGATTCGAGTTCAACGTATATTTTATATATTTTCTAAAAATTTGAAAACACTTTTAAGAATTGACGTGGAATTGATATTTGGGATTATTTATTTCAAATATCTATATCAATGTGTTTTTTTAATAATAATTCTTCAGATTCAATAACAATTATTGAATCTACCCAAACAGAACAATAAGTCATTATGATATCAAGATGTCAAAATGACTCTAAGATAATCATTAAAAGTCATTTTTTAATCATTTCATTTTAATGTCATTTCGACATTATCATGATTTGTTGTTCTGCTTGAGTAAAAAATTATTAGTTAAAAATACATTTTTTTGTTAAGGCTATTTCAATAAGCAATTCGAAATGTTATGTCGATGACAATAAGAATACACGGATCTTTTTAAAGAATAGGATTTGCTTCATTGACCTAAAGTGATTTTATTCTAACATATATACGCATTTCTTTATCTGTATTTTTGTATCTGTATTTTCGTAATTAGAGAAAAAACTGAAAAAGAAGATAGCTTTCTATTTAGCTTTCAACACATAGAAGCGAATTAAATGAATTGTACAAAAAATTCTTGCAGTAATCCAAATACTCAGAAAAAGACGTAAAAGGCATTTAAAGGGTTCCCAAATTTTTCAGACATCTAAAAATCCTTTTTGCTACGTTCTTTACGATCTTTTATATTCTCTGAGTTAGTCAAATTCATCGTAATTGCAAACTAGACGAAATACGCGTGAATATACAGCATTAAGATAAAATCCAAACTAAGCATGCGAGCACGAACAAGCATGAATAAATAATCTTAGCGAATAGCTGTAGACTGTACCAATCACTCTCATTGAAGTAAGCTGTTTATTCATGTTTCGTTCGCGCACGTTTCGCAGTCTAGATTCGGCTTAGTGCACGATATTCAGAGGCGAATAAGTAATCTCGCGTTTCGTAGGAAGCTGTTCGGGCTCATCGCGACGCGCATAGAAGTAGGAAAAAGATTGGGACGGCATCGAGACGCCTCTCCCTCTTAGCGCCGCTTCCAGTTGCCAAGTGCATCTTCGATCGATCCCGACACACAACTCTGGCCGCGCTCCAACTCTACCGAAATTGACATTCCTGTCTCCCGCTCGCGTTACCGCTTGCGTTTTTACATTCGACCGGAGACTACCCGACGAGACATCAAACGATTGCATCGGCCGGAGCGCGCGCCGTTTTATCACCATCCGGCGTGCAGGGTTAAAATATATCCCGATAAGAACATCGATAAATAGTGTGGAGACGAGATGAAAAGGGACGCGACGCGACGCGATGCGATGCGATGCGATACAATTATACGATACACGGGGTGTTCGTGAAATGAATACTGACTAAATTTTTGCAAATGCAAGTTCGTAGTCGTCGAAAGATAAGAAAAGTTTCTGCGAAACGTGATGCATAAAGACGCTTCATTAACTATTTCGATGAACAGGAATGAACGAATGAATATCCAATGAATGCAGAAATTGCTATTTCTTGTCGGTGATGAAATATTAATCTAGTAGAAAAAGGAAGGATAAAAGAAAGAGTAATACAGATGACTTAATTTTACAAAATGTAGACTCATGTCACATAGCACTAAATAGTTTTGATTAAAGAAAAGAAACTTTATCATAAAAGTATCGTATAAAAATATTAAAATCACTGCAGCATTTTGCATAATAACTCTAGTTACCGTTTTATTGTTTAATTAACTGTGTGATTGGTTTAATATATTATAGAAATTTAGCTGCATATATTTCGTGAATTCTACGTATATTCGACTCGAATGAAATGCATGGAGAAGGAAAGTCCGCACTTCTACGAATATCGCGATTATTATCGCGTAATGCGAATTTATTATCGGAAAATACACGTAAGCAGACTGTGATGAATTTGTAGGTATTTAAAACAAATTTGCTCTTTACATTGAGCGGATTATTCGATTGAAGTTAAAATGAGTATTTTGATATTATTTTACATTACGTACATATTTTAATATTATCCCTTTCGGTGTAACATGAACATCAATTCCATTGCAATTTATAATACGTTTTAAAAACAGAAAATAATGTTTAAATTCTGTAATTCACTGTAATGAAAATCGCACCATCCATGAATTTATCTTTGTAGACATGAATAAGCTGCTTTTACGAAAAATACATTTTTCACATTTCTTTTCACTTGCGCAATAAAAATTGCTTCTTTTTTTGCATCGATAGATAATATTTAATATTTTTAATATTTTATCCGATTGTCAACAATAATGTTATTTAATGCAACTTTATAAGGAAAAGGAGTGAAAAATAGTATTTTTGTATTATTGTATATAGTATTATTGTATTACAAATCCTTGTGTGTAATAAGTTTTCATATACATATAATAATAATAATAATAATAATAATAATAATCCATTTTCGTGCAGTATAGTGTGTTATTTTAATGAAAAACTAAATCACATTCATATATGAAGACATTATTTCACTGCAAAGTGTGGAAAAAGTGACTTCGATATATGTGTGTGATTAGTTTTCCCTGTAAAAATAACACATTGTACCGCATACAGAAATGGATTTACACATTTAAACGTGTAGTATAGTGTCATTTTTACAAAAAAAAGTAAATCACACACATATGTTGAAGTCACTTTTTACATACTTGGATTTGTAGTACATAAAGCTATTAGATGCGCTCTATCTAACAACAGCGAGGCTACGAACAGCGTGAAACGCAAGTCTACGTGCAGAAATAAATCGCGATCGTCATTATTTCCTTTGTTACGATGCTTTACTCGCATCTCGCTCGTCATTCTAGCAGCAATCTTTCCTCGACCATTACGCATCCAGTCAAACCCCGTTGAGAGCGTTTGTATCTCCGGCATTTGTGTCTCCAAAAACCGTGTGGATTGTAGCGCGCGGAATAAAGAGTCATGCATCGTGCTTTCGCTGTAAAAGCTTGTCCGAAGCTTTTAACGGAGATTTAAAAAGAGATTCACATCGCGAGTACGCGTATCTTTCTCGCGTAACGTTACGTATACTCGCGACTGTAATGTAAATTATCTTTGTGCACGTCATTTATGAATAATTCAACTTTTTTTATGAATCTTGAATTAATTTGACAATTCCCACAAATAATTGAGCGATTAAAGCCACTCTCAAGAATCGATATCGCTCGATATTGAAATTAATTTTGCTATAAATTCAAGCATTCAGATATTTATCAATGAACGATATACACGATACAGCCGATTATATTCTAATTTTTTTTTTAAATATTTAAAATTGATTTTATAAATTTTAAAGACGCATAATATAAATATAGGTAATTTAAATGTTGAAAGTAATTTTTTGGGATAGCTTTCGAAAAATTTTAAGAAAGTATAATTAATAAAATATTGATGTGTCATCATCTGCATTTTCTCGAAATTGTTAAATTAGCAACAAAAGCAAATAAAAAGCAAACAATAATAAAACATTAAAGAAAAGTGGTTAATTGCTGCTATTAAATAACAGTAAATGACAACTGGAATTTACGGCAACTTGCTACTCTGTATTCTTGAAATCTTCATCAAGTAACGTGTGAAACAAAAAAATAATATCTAGTCAAAGGAAAGTAATTTTAATTTCGCTATAAAGTAGAAGCAGGTGACAGGTGATATTTATTTCGCGATTTGCGTGGACAATGTTTCAGACAAAGAGAAGCCTGGGGAGACGAAGGAATTGCTCAAATACGACACTCATGGTTCTATTACCATCATGCCTACGGCGGATGATAATGGGATGGATTACACCTGCGAGGCCAGCCACCCGGCAATTCCCATAGATAGGCCTATGCGGGCTACCATTACACTTTCCGTTTTCTGTAAGTACGACAACGTATTATATTTGCTACAAAAACATGCATCCGCGTCATCACTTATGTCATGACGCGTTATCTTAATATATTGTCGTAAAAAACATGCGTTATACGAAATTAGAATTCGTATAAACATTATCGAGTCGACTTTAATTTCAAATTCTGCTGTCTTTAAGGATGTATTAGATGTATAATCTGTCTGCAAAAAATAGGATTGGCAATTTATATTTTCCATATATAAATGAATGTTATATACGTTATATATAAAATCTACAATTTTTTCATTTTGTTAAAAAAATCGTATAATACATCCTTAATTTTACAATGCTTTATTTGTGCAGGAAAATGACGCGAATTCTATTTGTATGCGAATAAATGCTTTCTATTATAAAATAGAATAATAAGAGGTTAACTTTGACAATTTAGATAATATGCTATAATGTGTATCGCGGTAATAGTAAAATTATTTAGCGTTTCACCAAATTGCTGAAATTCATGTAACAAGTTGGGTTGAATTTATTACGCAATGTAATCGTCGGAATGAATCGCAATTCGCCAAATATATATACAGAATTTAAACGCGCGATACGGACAGAAGTATATATAGAACTCTTTTCAAATCTTACATACACATCGTCATTTTGAGCTGAAAATGACTTTCGATCCCAATCGATCCGGATTTTGTTTTCAAATAAGTTTCGTTAGCACGAGGCCTCTATATAAGCGCAATGGCGGTGTCTGTTTTGCAGATCCACCTGGTCCACCGTACATAGAGGGCTATACCGAAGGTGAAACCGTGCAACGCGGTCAAAATGTGGAGCTCGCCTGTCGATCACGCGGCGGAAATCCGCAGGCGGAAATTGTCTGGTACAGAAACGACGAGAAGGTCACGGCAGCCCATCGCAGAGGCCCAGGCGTCAGTGAGAACGTGTATTCGTTCATCGCCCGAGCGGAGGACGACAAGGCTCGCTACAGATGCGAGGTCTCTAACATCATGAGTGTGCAACCCATGAAAGTACACGTCGATCTCACCGTACTGTGTAAGTATGCGAGCCTACGATAATTGCACGCGGTTAGGTAGCGGTAAAACGTTGCAAATTGCATTTCGAGAAATGCTCTGAGAAACCCTCTGTCCCTGCATTCATTCTCTATACGTTACACCCATCCTTCATATAATTGCATGTTATTATCATCTCTTATATTAAGATCGGACTAATGGACTTTTAATTTTTAATACATTTAATACATTTAATAATAAATGCATATATACTAATCCCTATGTAATTGTATGTTATGATCCTTTTTGTATTAATATGATGAATAACGCAAAATATCTTAATTTAATTTATTCATAATTATTATATGTTCGATAATTTTATTTATATAGCTTAATGAATTAATAATTTTCGAGAATGATTTAATTGATATAAAATTAATCTCAGATGCTAATTTCAAAAAGCGGTATAAAAAGAATGGAAAAATATGGATTATTTTTTATTGCTCTTTTCTGTTCTTGAATTTCTTATAGAATGCGTATTTTTTCGCGAATAATACTTGAGACGTATTTAAGGTGTTAGAATATTAACGTTGCCTGGTACCTGTCTGTGGCACTCACCATTATTTTGCCGCAAAGCATAGTATTGCACTAAGGTTGCACAGCGTATGGACGATCTCTTGCCGACGGAACAGCTACATAAATAATTCCGCTTCTCTATTTTCACTGAGGCTACGTTCGCGTTACCCAAATTGAAATTTTGCTAACTTTATGTTCGCGTGATATATGAGATAAAGCTAGAAAATACCATGGCTCTGGCTTATCGTACATTTACGATTAAGAGTAAACGGTGTCGACAGTACATCTATAACAGTAGGTTACAGATATTGACAGCCTGTTGGTAAACTTTATATTTCATTTTTTTTACGGCCATGAAAAATGAAAATTGACGGCAGCAAACGATATTAATTTTTAAATGTTGGTGACTTTGATTCCCGGAAATTTGCTTAGCGGGATATCAAGATTACAAAAATTCAAATCTAAATCTTGATGCTATTCTAGGCTTTCTTTTTTCAATGCTTTTCTAATTCTTTTTCTATTGATTATAACTTTTTTATTAATAAAGATATATTTGCTTGATATCGTTATGTTCCTTAATATCTAACGTTCTGATTGAAAAAAAATTCTTTACAATGTATATGCATCTTAAAAATCTGTAAAAAAAAGTATTATGTCAGCCAAGAATCTTTACAAAGTGTTCATTTTTATGAAAGTTTTTATGAAAATCGAATTAAATTGGGTATGCTATACTCAAGTGTATCGTTCCTACAGTGTAACTTCGAAGAGTTAATAATTTAAGTCTTTCGTTATTTTTCTTTTGGTATTTTTCGTTTTTGCTTCTTTTACATACTATCTAAATTCTTTAGTTGAAATTCATTTCAAAGAATTTAGAGAGCATATATTCACTTTATTCTGGATCTGCTTTTGCTCCAAATTAATGAAGTATTTATATCTACATTGAGAAAAATGTCTGTTGAAAAATAGAAGAATCAGAAGATTCTGATTGTATCATTTTCCAGTTGTCTCAACTAGAATAGTATTAGTTTTAACCAGAAAGTTTTGATTCGTTTATTTTCAACCAGAATTCCAATTAATCCAACCAGACATTTTTCTAATGTATCTTTCCTTTTTTTTTTACCATTTCCATCGTGAGTTTTTAGTGAAGAATCCATCCGATTCAGATCAACCAATTCGAATTTTTTCACGCGCTTACTTTTATGATTCTACAGTCGTGCCTGCCGGAGTAACCATCACCGGTCCGACCGAGGCGAAGGCGGACGACCAGGTGCTCATTACTTGCACGACGGAGAACTCGAATCCGCCCGCGGATATAAAGTGGACGGTGGACGGGCATAATTTCGAGAGCAACGCCTCGAAGACGGAGCTGGCACCAAACGGTGGCTGGATCACCAGCTCGAACGTGACGTTCAGCATTAATCGCAAGAGCCGCAGCATCGTCGTCATTTGCCACGCTTCCAACGCCAAGCTCACGGAGAATGTGGTCGGCACGCACACCATCAACGTGATATGTGAGCATTCCTCTTCTCTATCATACAATTTCGCCAGGCATTCGGCACAAGCGCATCACGCGGACACATTGCAGTTGTAACGAGACACCGCTCTTCTCGCCCGCGGCGAAAATCTAATTTCCTTCCCGCGTCAAAGACTCGTACTGGATACACCGAAACTACTGTATGAGATATTTTACGGAAGGACCTTTCAATTGCCAATTGTCGATATTAAATTTTTTATCTGATGCGGCCGCGCGTCAGATAAATCCTCGTTAAGATAAAAATAAGATAGAATTAACATAATTAAAACGAAAAAGGAAATTCAGTTCATTATTTACGCTCTTCGCTTCATTTATGCAATTAATCCTCTTCATGGATATATTCTCGTTAAAGAGGGAAACCGACATTTAATATATTTTTAATTAAAACGTAAACAACATATTAATATAATATAAAATAACATTCATATGAAGATTTATTTCTTCTTTTAACTTCTGATTAAAAATACTCTTTGCCAGATAATATATAATTCCAATGCGTATAATAAAATAAGCAAAACTGTGTTCAAGATAAGTTAAAATGATCATTTCTAAAATGAAACATTATAACGCGTGCAAGTACTCTTCTCAAGCTATCGAAAAATCTTTTTAATGATCAATTTGTAACACATGTTTAGAAAATTGGGTAACAATTATTGTTGTTGTTCCCGTTGACATCTTCACGGCACGCGATGACAAATTAATTGGCCATTGTTATCCAGAGTCCCAAAACGTACACTATTTCGTAAATCGGATGGTCAGAATTCATTTAACATATTCGACATTACGTCATATTGCGTATGATACACTCTCGCAATAATACAACCGTAATCGACCGACATTAATTTCCGCCATAAATAAATAATCCTTGTATAATCAACTGCGTTTTCAGTTTGTAATTACATGCATTAAAATTATTCGCTGTCTGAATATACTAAACAATTAGTGGCCTCCAATCAATACCGCGTTCGGCAATCCGAGACTATAACGAACTGCCACTCGTGTTCAATAGCGTAACTGAATTCAACAAATAATCCTTACAATAAAATAATCCTTATCATAAACTTTTTACCGAATGTTCAGTGAACAGGGAGATGAAGACGACAAACAAAGCAAAGACAAACGATAAACGCATATTGTAGCGTAACAAAAATGAAGGAAAAACGTTTGGATGCTTTTTTATTGTACATTCATTCCTGGTGTAAAAAAATTTTATATTGTATAAATTCTTTTTTCACTCACATTCGCATTTTGACTTTCGATAAAAGTATTTTTAAATCATGCATGAGTATATATGTATATAATGAGAAAAATGTTTGATTGGATTAATTGGAATTCTGGTTGAAAATGAATGAATCAGAATTTTCTGGTTAAATCTACTAGAATTCTGGTTGAGATAAGAAATTCTGAATACAATCAAAATCTTTTGATTCGTCTATTTTTAACCAGAGACGTTTTTCTCAGTGTAGCAAATGTCAGAGATGTATAATGCGTGGATATTCAAAAAGAGTAATTAACCGGTTATGATTGAATTTATTTGATTTTGTAGATCCACCTTCTAAATTAACCGTCACCGGATATGAAGAGGGCACAACGATAGTTGCTGGAACAGTGTTGAAGCTCATGTGCATCGCTACGGCGGGTAATCCATTGGCCACGTTAACGTGGTACAAAAACGACCGCAAGGTACGTGAACTTGTACAAAGAATCGTCGTAAATCTAGTAGTGGCGGATTATCACATAAACTCAAAAAACATGAAATTGTAAATGCAAAATTCTTTCCTCCTTTCTCCGTTTCAAATATTTATCAATTATTAAAGACATGATAATGACGGAAGTAATCAATCTATTAATTTAATGGATTATCCAATTCCAAATGCGTTTGTTTTTCTTACGACTGACGTTTAATTAAATTTGGAAACAATCTTGCATCTAGAGATTAAAACTCCTCATTATTTTAAATTCCTTGCAGTGTATTGAACAGAAATCTTAAAATCTCTCGCTTTTTAAAGTTTTAATTTTTATAATTACACAAAATAATGACATTAATTCTTCTTGCGATTTTCTCAAATTTTCAGAAATGAAAGAAAAGAATTTCGGGAAAGAACAATGAAATATATATATATCGATAATTATAAGAATTATTCATTTTAAATTTGATCTAAAAAATCTTATAATTTATATAGATTTTTTTTGTACTCTAAATCAACTTTGAGATCCGCCACTACGGATACGTAGATAGTTATGTTAACATTGTCTTATAATGCAGGTACTCGGCACAGTGAGACAGCGAAATCATGCTGTTTCGAGCGAACTGGTGATACTCGTCAACGCATCCGACAACAATGCCCACGTGCGATGCGAGGCGACGAATTCCGCCACCGAAATCCCCCTGCTCAAAGTTCTCGTGCTAAAAGTCTATTGTAAGATATGACTCATCCCGTATATTCATTATCAGAACCCTTTTGTGTGTTTTTATCGTGGGGTCACTTAGATCGAGTGAGAGACGTTAAGTTTCTCCAGTAAGAAAAGCTACCACATAGAAGTGATTGAACGACGTTATAATTACTCTCTTTTTCTTCACATCGCGAATCGAGAATCTCGGCGCAATGATATTTTAAACTGTTGACTTTTTCACCCTCTTCAGTTCCGCCCGAGAGGGTGAAGATTAACCGCGAGCCCCAGGATTTTCACGCCGGCCAGGAGGGACGCCTAATCTGCGAATCGAGCAGCAGCAATCCCGCCGCCGAAATGTCGTGGTGGAAGAATGGGATACCGGTACCCGGCACTAGAAACAGCACCAAGCCCGGATTACACGGCGGCTACCTCTCGTCCGTCGAGCTCACACTAGATTTAACCGAGGACATGAACGGCGAAGTGTACACCTGCGAGGCCAAGAATGCCGAATTGGGGAGATCTAGCCACGACGCTACAACACTGGATGTGCTATGTGAGTGTAGACCCTAAGTAAATCGCTCTTAACGACATAATCTGTACACCTGCGAAGATCAGCATTCATGCACGACGATCGTGCCCGACTATACGAGTAGCGCGAGTGCATTCAACCCGGAAATCTCCCCAGAGCGCGAATGCACGGTAGTATTTCCCTTTCTCCCTGAATATATTGGATTCCGCTCTGGTATAAATTTATTTGCATTTTATTCATGATACCTCGTCTGTACAATAACAACGGCGTAAAATAACAATCAATCGAAGTATAAATGAGTTGAAAAGAATGCATAGATGAGATTGTGAAGGGAGAACAATTAATCTGCTATTTATTTTTATAAGCTTGTTATAAAAACATATTAAAAATACACTGATATGCACATCATATTAAAAAATATTAAATATATATAGTATATAGATAATAAATAGATATGTAAATTTAACAGCCTTTCCATTCTTTTTAAAATTATAATCTCGCTGTTCGAATAATAATATATGGATTGTTTAAATTTTTTAATTGCATGATTATATCCAGAAAATGGAAAAAGTAAAATTATATAACTAACATTCAAAGCTTTGTATAAACAAAAAAAATGAAGCTATACAGTTTTATTAAATAGTAATTTTGAATAGTAAATTTTAAAAAGATTTATTTACATGTCTTTTTGCGATATTATATGTGCTTATTTGAAAATTATATCAAATATATATTCGTCTTTTTAATATCTTGCTTAATTATGAAAATAAAATACTATAATGAACTTGTTTTTTTGTTCCTCAGACAAGCCGATATTCTCACCGTTGGACCCTTACGAATTAACCGGCCTGGAAGGAGAACCTTTTGTAATTTCCGTATCGGCAAGGGGCAATCCGAACACGACGGAATACACGTGGACAAGGGATGGTCTACCGTTGGGTAATAACGGTAAGAGAATAACAGCACACGGTTCTACGCTAAATATCACGAGATTGGATCGTCATGACGCCGGTACATACATATGCGAAGCACTGAACAAGGAAGGAACCACCTTTTACCAGCTAAATTTGACCGTGCAGTGTAAGTGAACAATATCAATGCATCAGTTTGCAAATAAATTTTATTACAATATCATCACGATTAATTTCATGCTAAAAGAAATTAGCAGTATTTGATATTTTAAAAAATTGTATTGATATTTATTTGTATATAACTGAATTTGTATATAACTTTAATATCTATTTGTATATAACTGAAGAGTCTGTCTCTCACGCGATTTTTTATCTCTAAGTTTTTGTTGAATTTTATATAATTATTTTAATCTTTCTTTAATCTTCTTTACAATATCTTTTTCTCTTTCTTCCTTTAATAATTATTTTTTCAGATATCAAGTTCTAAAAAAGCATTCTAAAAAATCTTTTTAATATATTATTCTCGCTAATGTATAAT